GACATGTTAGAGGGCATCATGTTGGGAGAATGCCACTGTATTAGAGGGCATCATGTTGGGAGAATGTCATTGTGTAGTATTGTATCACTGTGAAATGCCAATTTGTACATGTTGTATAGTCATGAAAGTAAAATTCCTGAGAACTTGCAGATTTTGGGATATGAAAGTGACTTGATAATTTTCAGAATGCCTCACATTATTCAGGTTGAAGTATTTTATTAAGTTTCATACCATACATTATGATTTTGAAACATTGTCGTACGTGAACAAAATAGTTATACACGAAGATAGTCTAGGGCTGGGACGATCCACCGGTGCACCGATGCATCACAGTATTCACTTTGACGATATACGGATCGATTCATATAATTTAGTATCACGATACCTGACCGCACTTTTTTTAACTTCCAAAAATGTCCGGGCTTTAGAATTCGGAATTTTTAGTCCTTTAGTCTGTATCATCAAGACGTTTAAACAATCAAAAATAAAGTACAAACGTCTTGGTGATACAGAATTCAAAATACAAGCGTCAGAATGGCGTCAGACACGCCGGATTATGTTAAATCAACGAAAACACAATGGCAGTAAGTCGGGTTTCTGTTGAATTAGTTTATTTTTATAATCGGTAATGTTCCGAATTAAATGTTCTACAAAAAATATCTAGTTTTATTTGGTTTTAAATGTATCGTGATATGCATCGTATCGCACCTAAGGTATCGTGATATGTATCGGATCGGCTAAGTTCGGTATCGTCCCAGCCCTAGAAGATACATAAACATCTTTTCTTACAAGGCATAATTATCATTAATTAAATGTGAAATGTTAAAATGATATTTATTTTAAATTAATAGATCAATTGTAATTTCATGCTGACACATATGCATGTTTTGATCTATATGAAACAATCAACACTATTTTAGCAACCTAAAACTTGATTTACCGGTAGTGTGCATGGTGTTATTGTTCATTAGAAATACCATATTTTTATTGTACCTTGTGTATTAAATGTGGTGCAGTTTCTAAATACATGTACATCAGAAATCACAACCATAAAAAATTATTCTCTTGATATGAACAGAACAGTATTTACCTGAAGTGTGTATTATGATAGACTGGAGCTTGATGAAATGGGCAATTGGCCATTTTCAAATTCTTGAGTTACATGTATTGATTCATTATACAGTCATATACTTGTATTTATTTGTTACCCGTTAGAGAACTTTTTATTAATGTGGACACGTCACCAACACAGTCTCATCCGAGGGACCAGTCTCTATGTACTACATTGGATTCAGACCCGTGATGTAGGAGTCAGCTTTTACTCCCCAACTCTAGGCGTGTCGCTCTAACCAATGGCAATGTGACCCATTATGAAAATTTGACATAATACTTTTATGATCTCTAAATTTTATTGACTTGATAAAATGACTGATACACAAATAAGATTTTTGTAATATCTCTGTTTATAGCTGTTTACCATTTGCCATATTTCTATCACTAATTAAATCAGTTTTCAACAATGGCCACTGAAGAGTCCTAGTTCTGTGTTATTATACAAATGATCTTCCCTTGATGTAAAATAGAATATTAAATAAAATAAATTATCAAATGAATTATAATTTTGAATCGGAGAAGGCCTACATATCTTAAACAAACATAATTTAGATGTAGTCTTGCTTTTATGGAAAATTATAACTTATTTAATTTTTCTCACTCTCAGATATAATTGCATTTCAAAATCTTGTAAATTGAGGTTGTGATAGCCTGATAGGACTGCCAATTAGAATTAGACCAGAGTGTGACTGTGTCCATTTTAAAATAATACAATTTCCAATCATTTTTTCTTCTTTGTCATGTGTCCATTAGAATTTTCACTGCCTGTCAGGTGCAGGGGAATGGGCATGCAAGTGGTTTTTGGGACCTTTCTGAGCTCATGCTAAAAACAAAAAAGTTATTACTGTTATGTACTGTACTAACTCGATCTATTTTAATTTCAGATATCCATGGAACAAATCATCTGAAAACTAAATGAGGAGGAAGAATACTTCTGTTAAAAAGCATGTTTTAGTTGTTAGAACTTATGTAACTCTATTTTAGGAAATTAAGGAATAAAGCACCAAGTTTATGTTTTTATTTTCTATTGTTTTCTTAATCTCACTGTATAATATAAAGCTCTCTATTTATCATAGTCAGTGGTTGTCAGTGTGTGTGTTGTGGGGGAGGGGGGGGGGTGTAAGCTGCTTTCCTCTACTTTTTAAGCTTTATATAATATCTTGATATGTTCAGCATTTCCATCAAATTAACAGATGTTAACATTTTCTTAGAAAGTCTCATTTTGCGAGCTACCTACTAAAATTCTCTGATTTATTTAAAATAAGTATTTATAAACAGGCCTATTTATAGGTCACCTTAGTAAACTCAGGTGACCTATTACTATCTGTTTTTGTCTGTCGTGTGTTGACATTTGAACATTTTCAGCTTCTTCCTTGCAATTGCTCAACCAATTTCAACCAATTTTGGTACAAAGCACCTACAATGAAGGGGAACAAAATTTGTAAATATTATGATACCCCCCCCCCATCTTTTTTACTTCTGGACATCAAGCTGTCAAACTGTTGGCATGATTGTAATGAGCACTGAGTCATCTACCATAATTATGAAATTCATGGCCCCAAGGTCAGGGGTTCTAGTACTATGGTTGGTCCATATAGCTCTTTGGAATAAATCAACCATTTATGATGAAAAAAACTTAAGATAACATTTAGAAAATTTTGAAATGTGTGGCCCCAGGGTTAGTGGTTCCTGTGGGGTGGGGTACACAACTGGTGGTTTTAAAATGGAATTGCATTTTATCTTTATTACTCTGGTCTACCTTTGGGTATTGAGTAACCAAAGTAAGCATGTTAAGTGTATAATTATGAAAAACAATGGTGCATCTTCCAAAATTTGGAATTTCATGGCTTTTTGTTTAAAACACAAACCAAATTCAATTGAGTGAAAGTTGTTACATGATACCTATTAGGTCTATTTTGATGAACAAGTAGAATGAAAGAAAATTCCTTAATTTATTCTGAAAATCAGAAACAAATCTATGCATATATATTCAGGTACATTTAAATAAATTCAAGTTTGTTTATTTCATTACCCCTAATCAAGTGTTTAAAAGAGGCATCTTTAATAAACTAATGATATTTTACACTTGATAAATTTTTAGATTTCATTTTAAATCATTCTGATAAAAAAAATGCTTAAAATGTGAAATTAATCAAACAAAAACTTGTACTAGAACAGCATTAGGGACTATGTCCATCAAATTAATATTAGATGTTAGATACTGCCTAAATCTAACAACATCCTGTAGAGTGTCACGTCAGAGGTCAAATTCTATTAACCAATCAAATAGTCAACTGCAAAATTATTGTATATCATATATTGGAACGAATAAGTCTAGAGTTGTTCCGTATTTGACATCTGACGCGACCTTCTATGGGATGTTGTTAGATGTTGTGTAGCGAGTATGCGAGAGGATCTAACATGTTGTTTTATTTGGATTGGGATTTTGTTAAACTATATTTATATATATTTTCAATAGGTTGAAGTAACTGATGAGCAGATCAATCCAACTTGAACATGATATCATTTCTCCAATGATGAAAACAAGTCTCTCTATACTCAAGCATTGATATTTTTAAAGTCAACTGAAACTGGAACAGGACATACATGCAGACTACAGTGATGTGTTGCACAGTTCCGAAAACATGCAGTCACCACTAGCATAAGCATGATAAGTGTAAGTGGGTCATCAAAAAATGAGAACCACTCAGGGACTTTTCTGTTTGTTGATGATGGACTACAAACTGAATTTTTAACAAAGGAATCCTCCTTGGTGCTTATTGGCTACTTATGATGTGAACTTGTGCATTTATTATACCAAGTAATTTTACATTTCCTTGATAATACTAGACTTGCATAAACCGAATTCAGGTTTAGTTGATTGATTGCAGTAATGCAGTTCTAAGTTCCTCTTGCAAGATTATATCTCTGATATATGAGACATCATTAAATGCAGACATTTTCTCTGTCCTCCTGTCGTGACTTGAGGGCTCGGACTTAGCTGTAAACATGTTTATGATGCAAGAGAAAAATGTTCAACCCGATGTATGTAAATGTTGGTAATAACATTAAATATTCTTTGATAACTAGTGTTAGTGTGTTGTTGTTTTTTCCAATATGAGAATTCAGGGGGAAAATGACTTTTGGTTGAAAACCAGGGCTAAATTGTGTAGTCAATACTACAGTTTCCGTTGCGGAAACCTATAGTATACCCTATGTATATCAATATTGTAAACGCATACTTGCCTATACCTCAAGTTTCAGCAAGTTTCTGTTGCGGAAACCATTGGTAAACCATATGTATTTCAACTGTATATGCATACTAAAACCTTGCGTATACCTCAAGTTTCAGCAAGTTTCTGTTGCGGAAACCATTGGTAAACCATATGTATTTTAACCGTATACGCATACTGAAACCTTGCGTATACCTCAAGTTTCAGCAAGTTTCAGTTGCGGAAACCTATGGTACACCATTTGTATTTCAACAGTATACGCATGCTGAAACCTTGCGTATACCTCAAGTTTCAGCAAGTTTCAGTTGCGGAAACTATTTGGATTCGTGGACACCTTTGGTTTCCGCACTGCGGAAACTTGATGAAACTTGAAGTTTCCGCACTGAAACTTTGCAGAAACTATTATTAACCTTAAGTTTCCGCAGAGTTTCAGTAGGGTTTCAGCCATGCGGAAACTGTATTTTTCATCCAGTGCATCACAACCAATAAGGGGGGCAATTTTTTTTTTCTTTTTTTTTTTTTTGAATTTGTCACCTTGTGAACAACTAGGATACTTAAAGCTAAAATGAGGAAAAACGAGTGATATCTTTTTCATGTTATTTTATGTTAAGTGAACTTAGCCATCACTTCATGAAATGTATTCATAAGGAAATTTGATGTCCTAATGCTGGAAATTGAAAGGGATTTCCTCCTGTCATTGTCATCTAACAGAAAGATGGCTGTGACAAGAAGATATTTTCCTTTTATGCTCATCGCAATTCTTTATCAAGGTAAATTATTGATGTACTAATGAGAGCTTGTATCTTTTTTTAATTTTTTTTTTATAATAAATAGGTTAATTCAAATATCATTGATTTCTACTCACTGATTTAATTATAGATATGATTATTTCCACTGGGGTTAAACAAACTAAATGCCAGAGAGTGGTACATCATGTAGCAGAAAGGACAGATATGAAGTGTGGCCCTGGTGAAGTTATCTACGTTAAGAACCAGGCTATAACATCAGGTTCTGTTTCTGTTGGTGACCAAGAAAAATCATGTGCTGCAAATTTGGAAAAGGGGGTGTGTACCAGGTCCCTACCACTCGGCAGCTCTAACAGTGATGGGACGCCTTTTATTGCTGGAACCAGCTGTAACTTAAAAAATACATGTGTTTTGAGGAGTTACTTTACAAAACATTTGACCTATTCAATTCTGAAAGTTGCCGAAATGAGACCAAACTAGAACACAACTGGACCAAGGATTCCTTATTCATTAGTTTTACTTATATTTGCATACCAAGTAAGATTTATACTGTTTTTAAATTTTAGAATTATAATAACAGTCAGTTTTTCGGAGGAAGGGGGAAGAAAAAATATATTTTATAAAGTAGAACAATATAAAATAAATAAAATATTTAAAAAATATTATTTACAATAAAATTAATTAAAATAATATTACAAAATACTTTTTTCCTTAGAGAACCTTATATTCAATTTATTGGAAAGTAATCGGAACACTACAAAAAGATTCAGAGCCATGCATATGGTTACGGACAGTTTCTATGGATACATTACATGTAAAGTGAAGGGGACAATACATCTCTTATCCTTACTAGAGCTGACAGAAGCCAGTCTGACTCTATATAGAGATGAGGAAAAATTATACAGTAAGATGATGTTTTCCCTTCAAGAAAATAAAATGCCCCGCCACAGCATGATATGCCTGTCGATTAATTTAATTATCATAAACAGTTTAAAGTGCAAGAAAATCATGTCAACCTTAATTCTAAGATTTCCATGATTTTTCTGTCTCCTGTGGTGTAGGCATTAATTACATGTATGATAAATATTACATCATAGATTTCTATACTGGTTGTAGACCTTGTCAAATCCCCATCAAATTAAACAATATCAAATTAGTCTTAATAACCTAATCCACGCCAAAAGATTGGCATCAATGGCATATGCTATAAAATGACCAGCAGTTCTGTCTAACTCCCAATGGACACAGATAGAGATGCTCTACAGAAATGATTGAGACAGCTAGCATTCCTACATTGAACTCATTAATCAATCTTTAACTGGATGCTTGTCTACTAATTAATCCCAAGAGATGAATGGATCTGCACTTTCTACCCTAAAACATTTTTAAACCATGATAAACTAATCTGATATATTTTTATATTTAATGTCAGACAGGATTTACTCTGCAATTCATGTGGACAAATGAACATACTGATTCCACCCCATCCCCGAAAATTAGTTTTAATAATATTATATAATATCAGATAAGTTAATTATGCAGTTTTAAATTAGTTTTAATTACTTTTCATCAAATTCATTTTTAAACTTAGACTAGCCAACAAGAACTATTTTTCAATCTAACAGGCTGACACATTTGCCCAATTCCCAAGGAGTATAGATAACACCTGCTTGATCAGGGATGCTCTACCAGTTAGTCCCTCACACTAATCTCATTAATTTTTCTCTAATTTGACAGTCAATTTTCTGTTATAAAAATTCTACTTGACCAGTGCTTGATAATTACACCCATGGGAAAGATGGATTTCTCTTATAACATACATTACATTTGTTAAAGATTGCTGTAAAGTATATGCTGAAAAAATAAGTTTTTTCTTGATTTAATATATTTTAAATAAGGATACTGCAATATTCTTACATTTTGGAATGTGTAATGAAACATATGGAGATATGGAACAGTATTCCAGATCAAAAGTCCATAAAATAATACGAAAAAGGAGCAGAGCAAACACGGACCTCCAAAACATCAGAGGTGGAATCAGGTGCCACGGAGGATTAAATAGTAAAAAGAGTTGTTTTTAATTTACTTTAATTAAAGGTCACGGTGACTTTGAAGTAGGACGCGACACACCCTCTACCTAAGATGCATAAACTGGCTAAGTTTGGTGATTTTAAGTCCAATAATTTTCTAGCTATGAGCCGGACAGGATTTTTCCATATTTGGCTATAACTTCTTAATTAATGGTCAGAGTGACCTACTTTTTGTGCGCAATATAAACCTACCCAAGATGTATCAGCTGATATAATTTGATAACACTAAGCCTATTAGTATTAAAGTTATGAGCCGGACACGAAGAAGCTAACAGACATTTATTATTAAATCATTAATATTTACAGTGTTAATTTTTCACTGCATGTAATCAATATTTGTCTTTCAGGTTATGAGAACAGGGGCGTATACGGTATTAACATCACCTTAAATAACGATTTTGACAGCAATTCCACTCGGTACATTATTAAAATACACACGGGATTGGAAGGAAGAGTTTGGATCCATCTACAAGGTACTAATTACATCTTATATTCATTGTATGTAAATTTTACTGTCTAAGAATTCATTGTAAGTTAGTAAGCAATGGCAAGACGTAAAGGCACCTTACTAAACTACATTTTAGAAAAAGCATGGTTCCATTGCTTTTTAGGACATTTGGAAATGGACTGTAGTAGGAAATCAAAACTTTACACATTGATGACTGTTGATACAGACAAAAACCTTACCACAATTGATACCAGCGGGAACAATGTACTATCAAATGGTATGTTTCTTATAGAACCAGAAATACCATAGAAATGTTCCTTGTTTGTAAATTGCTCGTTAGTGAGTAAACATTAACAATCAATATCAGATCTTACTCAAACAAAATGCTCTATTTATCAATTTTTTCATAGAATAAGAATTGTCCTTATTGACTGGACAGACAGATTGTACTAATTGTAACAGTTTTAAATAACGACACTTCTACGGAATATTCGTATTTTGGGCTGAAAACTATCCTACGTCTACATATATTTCCGTATGACTTATCTATTTATATTGAATATTTACTTCACAGATTCAGATGCTTGATATTTATTTATATTACATGATAATATATTACAGAGTTTTGACAAGATCGAATTAATTCCCTAGACTCTTCTTATAATGAGAAATGATAAACGTTTCTAATGTTAATGATCACGTTTTTCAAGCAATTGTTTTCATATGGTAAAGCTAAAAGGCATTTTCCTTTAAAAACTAGTCTATTGTTTGTTTGTTTTTTAATAAGAAGAAAGAAATCTAGAAATAAATTCGTTGGCCTACATTACTGTGTATACTATACCGGTATATAGACAGTATCTCTAGCAAATATGTCTGAAAGAAAATTATCTTCAGTATCTGCTTTTGTATGAAGGATATGGAGATAACGAACAGTATTCAATATCAAAGTTCATAAAACAGTACAAATAGGAGCAGAGCAAACACAGACCTCTAAAACATCAGAGGGCCATGGGATCAGGTGCCAAGGAGGAGTGAGCATCTCCTGCTGACCGGTCACACCCGCCGTGTGCTCCTTGTCATGATCGGGAAATAACGGAAAAATCCGTCGTCAATTCAGTGTATAAATAATGGAGTGACAATTAGTATAAAAAAACATCAGTCAGCATTTGACTCAATGATAAATTGTATTTGCTGACAAGGTCATTGTATCAACCAAGGAACATACGAAATGATGACTTTAAATGAGTCTGCTGGTATTCTTGTTTCATCAACTTTTTTGTCAATAATTTACCTCGTTCTAGAAATTGTTCATACGTAGAGCATGCTCCTGCCTATCAAATCAACTGAGATATATATACTGTATATAAACGCCATATGCAGGTGATGAAGGTATATTGCTGCATAAGTAAGAAAAGTTGATGATAGAAAAGTTAAAGTCATCACGGTTATCATAGAGCTTGGTTGTTAGATTACCATTAACGTCTTTTTCAAGTAAATATCCAAGTACATCAATGATATATTGATCATTTTGCAAGCACAGCCATAATATCTCAATTCACAAAAAATCAATAAAGTTTCATTTTATTAAGAAATAAATTAAAAAAAATATGTTTTTAATTATTATTTACATGTATTAACCTCAAGGCATTACATTTAAATAAAATTGTACAATTTAATAAGTTTCATTTTTTCAAAAGTTATGCAGTTATAAATATGATATGTACCAACATCTACCGATAAATGACAAGTATACCATGCTGCAGCAATAAATATATTCAAAGACCATGAAACTCTTCCAAAACTGATTTCTTGTATGGCTTAGTTTTTTGTTCACCAAATTTTTGACATCCAGTGTACATCCATATGATACAATGTACTAATCATTTTGCAAGCACACCCATTAAATATCTCAATCCATAAAAAATCAACAGCGTTTCATTTTATAATTGTAAGAGTTAGTTTTGCCTATATAAAATCTTTATATCCTTGTAAAGGATGACTGCACTTAAGGATCTGCGAAATTTGCGTGAAAATAAACTTTCAAAACAGATTTTTCTTTTAATTGCAGGAATTATCAACATCTACTCTACAACTGTACTTAAATACAATAAATAAAAGTATGCATTTATGATTTATGGATTGTTTTCTAAGGTGGGGGTCGCCACAATTCTTCAATTTCCAAACGATGAGGACACCCACTTTTTTACTGACTTTATACATAGTCAGTGCATGTTTGTCTATTGTTCTCCTTTTAACAGTAGTTGTATATTTGCATTAGTAATGTTGTTTTAAAAGGAGATTAATAGACAAACATGCGCTCATGATTTAATTAAGAGAAAAAAAAACTGCTTCTTCTTACAGTCACTCTAT